CGGGCGATAACAAAAAAAAAGAAAAATTTGTTACATTAGATAGCTAGACAAGTGTAAAAACATCAAAAGTTCACAGGTTTACGAGGAAAAAAAGTGAGGGATAAGTGGAAAAGTATATGTTCAACCAGCATCCCTTACGAGCTTTATTTTTCGTTGAAAATACGTACATTATTACATATATAAAAAATGTTTTCTTTTCTTTACGCTTTGTCAATGGAGCCTTTGTAAGATTACCTGAACTGTAAAAACGGATTATGAATGGATAATTGAATTAGCCTCATTTTTTCCATAAATGAAAAATCTTAAGATTGCTTTAATTCAGTTGTTTTTGAGGCGCTACATTTCCTTTATTTTTTCCGACTAACTYTCTACTCTCAAACCTGACATTTCATTAATTTTCAGGCCGTTCTTTTGATTGTYGGCGACAGCTTTTCACTAATCGCTTGATTACRGAGGGCAGATATTAACCTTGRATAGTCGTGATACTGAGAATTATTAAATAAAACGGTGTTACTGGTGTGTTTTTGCGGTGTTTATTATGGACCCAATTAACAAATGGTCAGTTTTAGGATTTTATTAAAATATAATAGGTTACATCATCAAAGCTAACGCCGAAATGCCCAAGTATGAGAAAAACAAGAAATTATTACAATAAAACGATATTTGTATGCTATAGGCGCTTATTAGGCCTCTTCCACTAGAAAAGAAAAGTGTGGGGGGGAGGCAATCGAAAGAGGAAATTTTATCTTCCAGGGTTGAAAAGATCTATCACGAGTGAGCTTAGGGAAATTTTTCAGCACGAGGTGATAAAATTCGTATCTCCAAGCGACCATGTAATATTCTGTTTTACATATAATTACATATGAAAGTAAATTATGTCGTAAATATAGTATTTTGCGCAGAGATACGGATTTTATCTGTAGACGTGTCTCGAATAAAAGGGTAGCCCTGCTACCACTGCCAACTTTTTTCCCATGTAAACTGGGCCTTTCAACCCCGATAATGTCATAAGTCTGTGGGCCCGACAAAGCTTACGATAATGCAAAGTAATAATTGCAATTTTTCGATCTAAAGGAATGAGTGTGGGCGGAGAGTAGGCGTATGGAATTCTTGTTGTTTATCAACTTAATGAAATCTGTCACTCAGTGATAAACCTTGACTAATTCTCAAGATGAGAAGGTCAAGCAGCGAGAGGTTGTCACACAAGTTAACGAATCGAAAATATAGTCAGTCGCGCGCAAATWCGATATCACAACAATAAACTCCATAGTGGTAAATGAATTATTGAAGCGCATCGAGGCTTGTATAAGCTCAGCTGGAGCTCGAATCAATTGAAAAAAGTTTGCCATGCAAGTCAGAAGAAGCAAATTCAAATTTTGTTTGTGCGTCCTTTACTGTTAAACGAAGAAGAGTTTAACGAGCCATAACGACACAGTTTTGAAATTCAAAATTATTTCTCAAATTAATTAACTTATCTCAATGAAAATGTACTGATTAAAATTTGCCAAGATACAATGCTTTGTAAGTTGTTTTGATGTGGCATAACATCTCGTATTTCGTGTTTTGAGGATCAAGTAGGCATTTGAAATTCCCGCTCGTTTCTGTTAACATCGAGGCTTAACGTATTGGATATTYTTAAATTATATAGGCAAAGAAGACTTAATTGYTTCTATAATCGTGAAAAARCCTAATTATGGCGAAAAAAATCACTACAATTTTYTATTAAAAATCTAAAACAATGTACAAGAGCTACAGTGTATGCCAAAGCAGATGCCAAAGTAAACATTCCCACTCGAATCAAACTTAACGACGAGACAAATGTTATCAAAATCAAACTTAAAAACATYACAACAATTAGAGAAATCCTTTGGTACAGAGCAACAATAGTTCTGATTAATTTTCTCTCGAAGTATTTCGAAAAGCGATGCTAATTGAAATTATATTAATTTTTAATGAATTATAAATGGCTATTTAAAATACTTGAACACGTAATTTTCAATTGTTTTAAGTCGTTCAGGCTAAGATTGGGCTTTCAAAAGTAGAGCTTGGCTCAAAATTATGATGTRAAAATGATTTTTTTACCCTTACKTTTTCTGCTGGGTCACTCTCAACTTTGGCTTGGACAGAGTCGTAGGTGGATGTGATCGCTTGAAGTCAATAAAACAAAAATTAATATAGGGAACTACATTAAAAATTAATTCTAAATGAAAGTAAAAAACTTACTTTGTTTAGCTGAAGAAAAATGCAGAGAAAATGATACGAGCAACAAGAGGAGAACGGTCCTATCCATCATGTGTTCGTCTTGAAAATCCCGCTTCTGAATAGAACCAACCGTCACTGGACTGGATTATATATCAGCCGGCTTAGTAATGTGAGTAAGTGMTGACACTATCTTACAAAAATAATTTATATCAGCAATTTTCAGGGTCAGCCTTCCAGAATTCAATCTCGCTGCACACAGAGCCTGAGCAAAAGCGTACTAAAAGTTTTTCAAACTTTTTTCGTTTTTGAACAGAAGCGACGCTACGACGACAAACAAACAGAACGCGGTAAAGCGCGTCGCGATAATTCCTAATTTTTTATTGACATTTGGCGGTTTTGATTGAATAGTTAGTATATCATTATCCCTATAGTAACCTTCTGTTGGAAGAATAAAAATCTCCGAGGGTGGGCCGATAATGCTTAGAAATAAGCGTCACTACATTTGGTGRGGACTTTGAGAAAAAACTCCATTAAAAAGTTTATTATAATTGGACTGTATGGTTRTTTTGGCGAATTGGTTTACTTTTTGGATTTGCTGATTGACCAGTTGTTTATCTTTCATGAAAACATTACAAGTTCTCTGATGTCACAAAGAAGGAATGTTATTTCGTCTACTATCTTTTAACGGAAATCGCAGCCACTCCAGTGGAAATCTACTGAATGCTGGAATGCGCTCATACGGTTTTTTCGGTCAWGTAGATTTTGATAACATGAATATCATCATGCTCAATTATTTGTATTTGTGCCTACAATGGCACTGGTTTACTCGTTCTGTCATTTACTGTCAGTTGAAAAACAAATGTTSCTCAGTGACTCACGGCAGCGTATACGACGAATCGTTGTTATCRAAAAATTTCTAARTACAGTATTGTTTTCATTAGCCTCCTACAGAGCCGGTGCGTGGCTTTATTTATTAATGATTTAACGTTTCTAGGAGCCTAAAAAGATGGCATTTCATAATTGCCTCCACTGGTGATAGTCACTTGTTGACTTTAGTCCATGACCTGTTTGCGCAGGCGTGTAGCTTTCTATTGATCCTCCCCTCCCACCCATTCCTCCCGCCGAACCCCTTTACTACACATTGACCGAATCAACGCTTACCCAGACTTCAAAAAACTTTGTCTCTTCGCCCAAAAAGAACCCTATATCCAGAAAGCATCATGGGACATGCTTGTGCGTACAAATACAGTTGACTGACCAGCAGAACATATCTGTCATTTGAAAAAATAAATGATCTAACCGCTCTCATGCGCATGCGCAAGTCGGCTTTACGTCGTGCGGTGCCGGATCGTAGCCCGCGGCAGTTTCAGAGCGTTCGCTGAAAACTACGTATCCTACAATACATTTCATCCAATCTTTGTTTCTTTAACACTTCTGAAGTGGCAAACTAATTAATTTACCCCACTGTGGTTTTCACTATTGTTTTACAGGCACTCACGCGGTTCATGACAAAACAGTAAATTACCATTTTATCGACCCTACATTGCGATACACGTCCACTAAAAGCATTGCCCGCTTAATAAAGGTGATAATTTTGAAGTTCCCCTACAATCTTGAATGTTACAAAGATTTGTTGAATCAAAGCAAAGATGGTCAAGAACTGATGCTTGTCATCTCTTATTATTCTTATGCGATACTATAATAGTTTCTAATAGTTTCTGTTAGAACGTCACTGACTGCCTCTCCTGACCTCAAGCGAAGGTATAAAGTCCATGACAACGAGGTTGACAGTACTAAGTAAGAAAAGGGGGAGTGCGGTCTATCTAATTTTTGTGTTTTGGTAGGAAGGCACGCTTAATTTTTTCCATGTGTAAGGGGGGTAAGTCATTAGCGTTTCTGCTCTTTTCTAATCCAGGTATTGTTCCCGTAAAAGATGTCAATGTCACCTTTGCTTTTCATATCATAGTCTACTAGATAGAATACTGGCAAAGCTGTATAAGAYATGGGAAACATAGAAAGTACCTCCTTACTCAAGACACAACTGGTAACCCTAACCCTAACCTGTCAGCCTAACCACCACCACACCACCCCATCATAATCCCATCCCACCCCTCGCACCCCCCTTGGCCCCCCGTGCTAGCATGATCATCAACTATCATACATAGGACAATTATTCACAATTGTCGAGGATTGGAAGTTCAATGACTTTTCATTATCGATTCTGACGTCGTAGCTTGGACTCAATGTGTTTGCTTCGAAGTCATTGAACGATAAAAGCGTCCATTCGCAATCCGTTTTCATCCTTCGGTTTTGAGGTCGAAGACAATGTCTCCATATAGTATAAATGGATAACTAAAGATTGAGCTTTCGCTTATATTACAATGTATATTTTTATTTTCAAAAATAAACACTAACCTCCAATGGGATGCCAGTGGACCATGGCCTTCAGGCACCGCGGAACATAATCTTTATTGGGGGGAGGGGTAAATCGCATCGGTACAACTTTCGAGAAGCGACGACAGATGAACCTGTGAAGAAGTGTCTGTAGGTGTGAAAGAAGGTTTCTATCATTGCACGCTCAACGGTCGTCTCGCTTCGACGCAAAGGCACGGCTATCTTTCAAGATGGCGCAGGCACAGGCAACCCAAGCAAAGCATTTGATTCAACTGATTGTTATTGTTTATAAAATACATTTTTTGCAAAATGGCGGCCAATATTTTGGGTGGCTAAGCAACGCCGGCTCCGCAGTACCTGGCTTTCTACGGTAATATTCAATGAAAAAACATTTACGTCTAAGACCATTTTGGAATAAATAGTTGTATTTCCCAGATCTTTTTTAAGTTACAAGTTCTTCTTATTTCTACTATATTTTCCCATTTAACACATTTGGATGTGAGACATCCTAGCAATAAAATAATATTAAAGGTATCGCTTTATTAGACCATTTAGACCATTTCGTATACCTTTGCATTCATTT